CCTAATCACTCACTTTACTACATGCTAATGTCACCTGTTGGGAAAACAAAACTGACTGATTGGCTAGAATCTTAGAACAAACTTTTATGTACATCTTTATTTGTATAACAGGTCATCAATGCAAAGATAAAGCAAAAGATGATAAGCAAGATGTTTGAAGAGTAGGCCTGTTCCCTAGCTAGTCATTTAAAAATGACTTTCTTTTCCAGTTGCTCTGTGTTTTATTTCTGTTTAATTTTGGTTTTTTTCATCTGTAACTGTTCAGTCTTGTCTAGTTGGCAGCCGGTATCAAGCAGAGTGCCCCAGGGGTCGGTCCCGGGGCCGGTTTCGTTCAACATCTTTATCAATGATCTGGATGATGGGATTAATTGCACCCTCAGCAAGTTTGCAGATGACACTAAGCTGTGGGGGAGAGGTAGATACGCTGGAGGGTAGGGACAGGGTCCATAGTGACCTAGACAAATTGGAGGAATGGGCCAAAAGAAATCTAATAAGATTCAACAAGGACAAGTGCAGAGTCCTGCACTTAGGAAGGAAGACTCCCATGCACTTCTACAGGCTGGGGACCGACTAGTTAAGCAGCAGTTCTGCAGAAAGGGACCTAGGGATTACAGTGGACGAGAAGCTGGATATGAGTCAGCAGTGTTCCCTCGTTGCCAAGAAGGCCAACGGCATATTGGGCTGTATTAGTAGGAGCATTGCCAGCAGATCGAGGGAAGTGATTATTCCCCTCTATTCAGCACTGGTGAGGCCAGACCTGAGTATTGTGTCCAGTTTTGGGCCCCCCACTACAGAAGGGACGTGGACAAATTGGAGAGAGTCCAGCGGAGGGCAACGAAAATGATTAGGGGGCTGGGGCACATGACTTACGAGGAGAGGCTAAGGGAACTGGGGTTATTTAGTCTGCAGAAGAGAAGAGTGAGGGGGGGATTTGATAGCAGCCTTCAACTACCTGAAGGGGGGTGCTAAAGAGGATGGAGCTAGGCTGTTCTCAGTGGTGGCAGATGACAGAACAAGAAGCAATGGTCTCAAGTTGCAGTGGGGGAGGTCTAGGTTGGATATTACGAAACACTTTTCATTAGGAGGGTGGTGAAGCACCGGAATGGGTTACCTAGGGAGGTGGTGGAATCTCCATCTTAGAGGTTTTTAAGGCCCGGCTTGACAAAGCCTTAGCTGGGATGATTTAGTTGGTTTTGGTCCTGCTTTGAGCACGGGATTGGACTAGATGACCTTCTGAGGTCTCTTCCAACCCTAATATTCTATGATTCTATGACTAATGTTCTCTTTTAAATGCCAACCTAACATTGCTAAAAAAAGTAATTATACTTTCTTTTTTGAGGTTCTCATTACGTTGTACTTTGAGTTATTTTAATATAGAAAATGCGATTAAGTAACTTGGTTTTTTGTAATTAAGAGTAAGTACCTAAGGCTAAGCCTATTGGAGACAACAAAGTCTTACTCTTCTTTGCCAATGTTCTAATGAATTAGTGCTTTAAAATATTTGGCCATTTTTGACATTATTTGACCAATGTTTGACCAATTATTCTTGGATTGGTCAAATGTCCAATTCTACTTCAATTTACTAACTACACATAATACTTACTTTCTTTAATAAATCAGTTAGTTTTAAATGCTACACCTGTTTCGATAAGACAAAAAAGCTTATGCATCCAGTACATTCCAGGTAATTTTAGTCAACTAACACAAACAACTTTAAAATGCTGTTTTTGCACATGCTAAATTGAATTCCAATTTCTATTAGAAGATTACAAGTGAAAAATTAGTCTAGTAATTAAGAAGTGTATGATTTCCCCATTTTTAACATAATAAAAATGTAAAAATTAACAATCTGTTTTAAGATAAATAATTGCATCATAAGTGAGTAATGATATGGTCGGTCCTCATTGCCAAAAAGTACCAAGTTTAATGTAAAGACCACACTTAGTTGCAAATCAACATGATTTAATGGTTACCAGCTAATTAGAAACAACTTTTCTTTAGGAAAATACCTAAGTAGAAATGAAAACTACAATTAAAATCAATGATTTAAACAATTTTTCCTGCTTGCTGATCATGATTAAAATTGGTGATTTAAATTGCTTGAGTTAAGTCAATCCACCCTAGAACAGTGGGGCCAAGGGATGTGCTGGCCACCCTTCCCACAGCCCCCATTGGCCTGGAGCGGCGAACCGCGGCCAGTGGGAGCCACGATCGGCCGAACCTGCGGGCGCGGCCCAGCCCGCCAGGGGCTTTCCCTGAACAAGCGGCGGACCGGCTTTGAGAAACCCTGCCTTAGAAGACATTATTAATTATGACCCAATTACGCAGGACCACCAGATGAAAAATACTGTATGGGGTTCTGAGTTATATTTTAAAGAGTCTTATTTATTTATAAAGCTCCCCTGCAACGCAAAAGGATGCACCCCTGTATTCATATCCTACGTACTACAATAATAATATTTGTACAAAATATGTCTTGTGAGCTATAATTTGAAAACTAATGACTCACTGGTCAGTAATATTATGGTGAAATGTATGTACAGTAGCAACATTATGTGTAAAGTTATGAAATCCCCTGTATGATGTTAAAGGCACATATTCAAACTCACATAGCCCTGATTAACTAGAACTGGTTAAGGAGGCCTGTCAAACAAAAGAATGTGTGTTTACCTCAATTTGCATATAAGCTGTAAAAAGAGTCCTCAGACAGCAAGCGGGAGAAGAAAGAAGAAAGAAAAAAAATCGACATTTCAGCATAAATAGGTGAAAAGAAACACCATAAAGCCTCCTTCCTCCACCAGACTCCATGTCTACTTGCTCTCAGCTGGAAAGAACTTTAGTGAGACATCACACTCAGGAAAATGCTTTTGAAAGGGAGACTGGACTATAAAAGTAAGGGGCAAAAACACCCCAAGTTCTTGTTACATACCCATTTCTCTCTCTCCACCTAAGACCACCAGAGAAACAACCACTGGACTTTGGGGCCAGATTCTGGCCTGAGAGTTTGGTCAGCAATGTTACTGGAAATGTGGTATGGAACTTCACTTTGAACCAAGTCTAGTTTAAGTTTAGAAAGCGTTTTCTCTTTATTTTTCTTGTAACCATTTCTGACTTTAATGCCTCATTTCTTGTACTCAATATCTATCTTTCTGTAGTTTTGTTCTTTAATCAAAAATTAATCTAGTGTTGTGAATTGTTTGTGTAACTCAATTGAAGGCAACAAGCTATTATGTACTGATCCCCTTAGAGGGACAAAGAACCTAGTGTATCCTGACTGTCCAGGAGAGGACTGGACACTGCAGAACACATTTGGAGGGGGCGGGGGAGGGCGGCGGGGCCGGGGGGGGGCAGGGGGAGACGACTCAGGATTGGTGGCATGTTGGGGTCACCTGCAAATAGTAACCAAGACTCCTGGAAGCTGCTGGGGTCAAAGCCGCTGGACCAGGGCTGTGGCTTTACACAGACACTCAGGGTGCGACCTGCATACTGTCAGGCTAATTATGAGTGACCCAAGCTGGAAGCTACAACAGCAAAGCATTGCGAGGCACCGCAGGTAGCAGGGCAAGGGTGACACAGCCACTCTGGTCTGGATTGCACCCCGTAATGTCATAGGGACAAAACAGGAAAATTAAAATACAACATAGTTGAAAACAAACTAAATGTAAGAGCCAGATGGGATGGGATGGGATGGGATGGGATGGGAGGGATAGCTCAGTGGTTTGAGCATTGGCCTGCTAAACCCAGGGTTGTGAATTCAATCCTTAAGGGGGCCACTTAGGGGGTCTGGGGCAAAATCAGTACTTGGTCCTGCTAGTGAAGGCAGGGGGCTGGACTCGATGACCTTTCAAGGTCCCTTCCAGTTCTAGGAGATAGGATATCTCCATTAATTTATTTATATAGGATATTCAAAAGCCAAGTAAAGTGCCATCATTAAGAAGGGGCTACTAATAATTAAAATCAACTCTGAAAAAAATAGTAGCGATTATGATAGAAGCCAGGCAGTGGGATCTAATAGAAAGAGTATTGGGCAGGGGCTCTGGAGATCTGGGTTCTAGGCCCAGCTCTACACTACACTGGTTTGCTGGGTAGCCTTAGGCACATCACATCCCTGTGCCTCACTTTCCTCTTCTGTAACACTGTACAGAAGTCCAGGAGCTTTTCAACACAACCCCAATTCATCAAAATCAAAACCAAACCTTTTGCTGAAACGAACTGTTTGGATTACATTTTTTCTGAGGTTCAGAATAGAATTATTGGTCAAAACCAGAGAGAAAGAGGGGGCATTCACCTGGGATGTGGGAAACCAAAGTTCAAGTTCCTGCTCTCAAACAAGCCTGACTTTTATATTTAACCACCAGCCCAGTTGAGGGGCGGGGCCCTCTCCCTCCAGAACAGTGGGGTGTCTGGATGTCCCTTCTAGTCCTACATTTCTATGATTTCATAATTGTTCTGGAAATGCAATGCTTGTTCTCCAGCCCTAGGGACAGGTAACAACAATACTCCCTTTGTCAAGGGCTCTGGGATCTAGGGCGGGAAGGCATCCAAGAGTATCATTGCTCTATCAAGGTATTATTCTAATCAACACGTTTGGCCTAAAACTTGAGGCTTAATGGAGCTATTTTCTTCCAGTCGCAGGCCTGATGCAACTCTCTCCCTCTCGTACCTAGCGAGGGTTTCTAGAGATGCCCTCACTGCCGAGCCGAGCGGGGTGTTTTTCTCCGTCAGCTCCATAAAAGAAAGCGAAGGAGGCACTGGGACGCCGCCGCTTCCGGCGCTTTGCGACCCACACCCCGCGGGCAGGCAGCGAGCGAGCGAGCGGCTCCGGCCAGAGCTCAGAGGCAGCTGGCCCAGGGGGCGTGCTGGGCACTCTGCCGCCTGTCATGACAGCGCAGGATGATCCCCGGGGAGCTCAGTCAGCCACCCGTGCGGCGACCGGGGCGATGTCGGGGACAGCGAGGCTGGGGAGCAGGCAGGGAGAGCGCGCCGGGCCCCGCTTTTACCTTGTCCCAGCGCAGCCACTGAGCAGCCGCCTCGGTCAGCCCCGGCGCCGCCATCCTACCCGCTCCGTTCAGCTCAGCTTCCCGCCCGGCACTGCCCTTCCGGAGCGGAGCGGGAACAGCAGCGGCCGTTACCTTCCCTCCGCTTAGTCGCAGGGTGGGGCCATCAGCGCGGCTGTGGAGTGGGGCGGGGCGAGGGAAGGTCGCTACCCGTCCCGCTCTGCTGCCCTTACTGAGCACGCGCCAGCCGTATGCGCATGCTCACTAGCGTCGCCTGAAGTTGCTGCTTTGCTGCCTCTCCCTTAGCTCTAAGGAGCACGTGTTCGGGGCCAGAGAGCGGGGAGCTTTTGTGCAGGGGCCAAGCCGTGCCCAGGGGCGGGTGAGACAGATGGAGTGGGCAGGCGCCGGCGTAGAGGCTCGGGACATTGCGGCGGCCCGCGATAGGGACGGGCGGGGGGCTGGGAGGTGCCACACGTGAGAGTGCTTTTTGTAGTTTAGTTTAAGACTCTTCCAAGCCAACCAAGCTAAACTTAAAAAGGCACTCTTATACCTGAACAACTTGCTGGGATGATTTAGTTGGGGTTGGTCCTGTTTTGAGCAGGGGGTTGGACTAGATGACCTCCTGAGGTCTCTTCCAACCCTGATATTCTATGATTCTATGAACTGTGTCCACACACAGAGTTATGGGAGTATAACAATACCAGTTTAAACCTACAATATTAGCTTAGGGCTTGGCTGCACTCAGGCGCCGACTTCCCCTTTGCCCGGTGGGTGTTCGACCCCCACCCTGGCCCTGCCCCTGGCCCACCTCTTCCTGCCCCTGCACTGCCCTCGCTCTGCCTCCAGTTCATCCCTTCCCCAAAGTCCCTGCCCCTTCCCACCCCCATTCCACCCCCATGTCCCCACCCCTGCCCAGCCTCTTCTCCACTTCCTCCCCTGAGTGCGCCGTGACCCTGCTCCTCCCCCTCCCTCTCAGAAAGTCCTAAGCACCGCCAAACAGCTATTAGGCAGCGAGAAGCGCTGGGAGGGAGGGGGAAGAGTGGACATGGCGCGCTGGTGGGGGAGAGAAGGAGGCAAGGAGGGGGGAGCTTGGCTGCCGGTGGGTACGGAGCATCTGATAATTTTTCCCTGTGGGTGCTCCAGCCCCAGAACACCCATGGAGTCGGCACCTATGGCTACACTTGCAAGTTAGAGCACGTTAAATCAGCCCCGGGTGCCCTAATTCCTGAGGTGACCACACTGGCAAGGCACTTAGAGCGCCTGGACTCCACGGCTGGAGAACCCCTAGTAATCCACCTCCACAAGAGGCATAGAGCTTGATGCTCCCTGGCTGAAACACCTGGGTGTCAGTGTGGACGAAGTGTTGCATTACTGCGCTGTGATTGGCCTCCAGAAACGTCCCATAATCACTTGAAGTCAAGTGGCCAAATGATGTTCATTTTACTACTGATTTGTTTATATTTCTGATTGGATATCTTATTTTCATAGCCCTGGCCAATAAATTGTCTTTACATTATCACAGTTCCATAATATTTCATATATTTTAAGGACAGAAGGGATCTATAACACAGGCCATATAATGTCACCCCTTATCCCTGCACTGGGCCTAATGTATTTGACCCTTCAGCACCTGGTATTTTCTCTCTGTGAAGGTACTTAATACACTATAATCAAGCCATCTCTCAATCTTCTTTTTGATAAGATACACAGATTGAGCTCTTTAAGTCTCTCATTGTAAGGCCTTTTTGTGGCTCTTTTCTACACTTGCTCCAATTTTTCAACATCCTTTTTAATAACTAATAATACTTAAGAACTCTATATAGTATTCCAGTATCAGTCTCACCAATGCTGTATACTGAGGTAACATGACCTCCCTTTTACTCACTACTCCTTCTCTATACAACCAAAGATCATATTAGCCCAGCATCGCACTGGGAACTTCTGCTTAGTTGCTTAATCACTCTGACTCGTAAATCCATTTCAGAATCATTGCTTCCCAGGATAGAGTCTCCCATTCTGAAGGTATGGCTTACATTCTTTGGGCCAAATTTTCATAGGCATTGAAGACTAGAAAAATCAACTGATGCCTGCACACAAGTGTACTTGCTCCTGTTAAGTCTGATCTTTTTTATTCTTATTGGAAAAATAAAATTGTCCATGTGTGACCCATGAACCTCTTCATGCCAACTAGAAGAGGACACGGGATGTGCATAGGGTTTTACAGGGATCCCTTGGATTGGTATCTGCATAATACTTCACCAAAGGGTGGCATGTGAGGTCTCTACCGAGCGCCAGTAGCTCACTTCTCATCATTATCATTGCAAAATATATTTATGTATAATGTTTAAGAAGTAACATCTCTATAGTGAAAATTATGTTCTTAAGGTCTTGGAGCTAAGACAGGTTACCAGGAGGTGACTGCCTAGGAAATGTTCCTTTATACTTATCTCACTGTCTGGTCATTTGTATATTATTTATTGTATGCCTCACAGAGTATTCTCATTTGCATACGAAGCCACATGCGGACTGAGAGACTACAAAATCTACAAGAGATGAAATCTACAGGAATAAACAAACAGCAAGGGGGGGTGTCCTGTTTGTGAATAAAGACAAAAGATTCTTCTGGTATATGTTGAAGTGCAAAGCAACACACTGAACCCTTCAATGAGGTTATAGGGTTACTATATGTCTGGGTTTTCATAAACGTGTCCTCTTTTTTGGTAGTGTCAAAGTTAGACTCAGGACTCATAATTTGTCAGACCACTCTGGTTTATTAGCACAGCGCTCTGCTAATAACACCCAGATAATATGAGCCCCCATGCAAGATTCAAACAGTCTTATTTATACAGATAAAAGGGTGCGAACTAAACAAAGGGACAGAGAGAGCAAAACTGTAAAATTTGCCTGGGGCACAATATGCATATCCTGCTTCCTTATTAACTCTTATCGATCTAAGGCTAATGCTTCACCGATTGCCCTTAAATGGAGCAATTCATTAACAGTTAATGTCTGCTTTCCTGATACCTGGATTGTAGCATTTCTCATTTCTACTTAAAGGTACATATAGCATTCTTTAATTCATTCTATTTCTTTAATATAATTCATTCCACTTTCACAGTAGTCCATTTTCCATCCGGGTGGATTTTTGAAATAAGAGTTAAAGTCCAGGGTTTTTGCAGAGCAGATGTTGCAGCTTAGAAAAAGACCCAATTGGTGCACTTTCCAATTGGTCCTTCCTCTGCATCCGCAGCTGATTGGTCCATTCCTCTACATCCCTGGCTCCATGGAGGGGCTTGTGCCAGCCGCCCTGCCACCATGACAGGAAGTGACACTGCCCACCCACCTCCAGTGAGAACCTCCACTGCTGCTATCCCTTTCAGCACCTCCAGGTACCCCTCCCAATACACACACCGCTCCAGCACCCCTCACATACCCACTCCAGTACCCCCAACTATACCCCTCCAGGTCCCCCAGCTCTCCTCCCCCCGCCCAATCTCCTCTCTTTGGGAAAGTAAAATATGGTAACCCTAAATGAGGAGGCACATTGACAGTGTGCTTGTTTTATGTAAGGAGGGTCACAATTAACCTGGCTGCAAAGTGCTGCAAGGATTTTGGGTGAGCAATACTCTACAAGATACAAGAGAATCTTGTTAGAATAAAGAACAGGAGTACGTGTGGCACCTAAGAGACTAACAAATTTATTTGAGCATAAGCTTTTGTGGGCTACAGCCCACTTCATCAGATGCATAGAATGGAACATATAGTAAGAAGATATATATACATACAGAGAATATGAAAAGGTAGGAGTTGCCCTACCAACTCTCACAGATCTTGGGAGACAGACCTGTCCTCGCTTACAGACAACCCCCCAACCTGAAGCAATTACTCACCAGCAACCACACATCACTGAACAAAAACACTGACCCAGGAACCTATCCTTGCAACAAAGCCCGATGCCAACTCTGTCCACATATCTATTCAAGTGACATCATCATAGGACCTAATCACATCAGCCATACCATCAGGGGCTCATTCACCTGCACATCTACCAATGTGATATATGCCATCATGTGCCAGCAATGCCTCTCTGCCATGTACATTGGCCAAACCGGACAGTCTCTACGCAAAAGAATTAATGGACACAAATGTGACATCAGGAATCATAATACTCAAAAACCAATGGGAGAACACTTTAACCTGTCTGGCCATTCTATGACAGACCTGCGGGTGGCTATCTTAAAACAGAAAAACTTCAAAAACAGACTCCAGCGAGAGACTGCTGAGCTGGAATTGATATGCAAACTAGACACAATCAACTCAGGATTAAATAAAGACTGGGAATGGCTGAGCCATTACAAACATTGAATCTATCTCCCCTTGTAAGTATTTTCACACTTGCTTCTTATCAAACTGTCTGTACTGAGCTATCATGATTATCACTTCAAAAGTTTTTTTTTTTCCTCTTACTTAATTGGTCTCTCAGAGTTGGTAAGACACCTGTTCATGCTCTCTGTATGTGTGTATATATATATCCTCAATATATGTTTCACTCTATATGCATCCGAAGAAGTGGGCTGTAGCCCACGAAAGCTTATGCTCTAATAAATTTGTTAGTCTCTAAGGTGCCACAAGTACTCCTGTTCTTTTTGTGGATACAGACTAACACGGCTGCTACTCTGAAACATCTCTTCAGAGACAGCTTATCTGGTCATTTCTGGGAGTGTCCAGTGACAGGCTGGATACAGCAGAGGTGCTCGGGGGGGAGGGGTGGGTGGGGGTGTGACTGTCACTAGCCTGCACAGAGAGAGTGAGGTCTGCGGAGACCTGGAATTCAGGGCTTATCTGTGGCTAGAGACTGTTGGAGTCAAAGCTGAGCTACAGCAGGCATTAGGCAAAACTGCTTCATGCTATGGGCAGGTGGTGATGAAGTGTCTCACAACCCAGAGTACCCCTGGGGAGCATCACACGCATTGCCTTCACTTACCCCTCACTAAACCTCGGAGACCACTGTCACATATCCCACCAGCCTGCTGATCGTCCCCAGGGCAAGAAGACCCCTTTGTGCACCTTTATTGATACAATCTACAGGACTCAGCACTGAAGTGAGGCATAATTCATCCCTCAAATTATACATGTCCTTCTCCCCATATCACAGTGACAACTCTGCTAAGCTGCTCCAACTGATCCCTCCACCTTTC